CTCTCTATTCCTCGCTCTCCAGCCACCTCTCCTTCTTTGGCACTTTTCGCCTCTGCTTCTGCAAGTCTATCATTGTACCTCTTGTCTCCATTCCTTCCCCTTCTTTCCATCTCTACCCCTTCAGCTTGTTGTTTCCCTCCCTCTCCCCCCTCCCTCTTTCTTCCCTCTTCTGATTCCCGTTTGTTTCCTCGCCCTTGCTCTTCTCCTCCCCCCTCTCTTACACTTTTCCTTCCCCTTCTTACCTTCTTTCTTTTCCCCTCCACTTCCCCTAGATTTTATTTACGCCTCTCCTTTCCTTCCTGTCTGTTTCCTTCTCCCTCCCATTTCCCCATTCACCTTTCTCTTCCCTTCACCTTTTCTTTTTCTTTCTCTTTTCCTTTCTCTTCCCCTTCCTCTTTCTCTTTCTCTTTTCTTTTCCCTTTCCCTTTCCCTTTCCCTTTCCCTTTCCCTTTCTCTTCCGCTTCTCTTTCCCTTTTCGCACCCCCCTTTCCCATCCCCTTCTTCTTCCTCTCTTTTCCTTTCTCTTCCCCTTCTGTTTTCCTTTCCGCATCCCATTCCCCTTCTCCTTCCTGCATCCCCTTCGCCTTCCCCTCCCCCTTCCCCTTCCCCTTCCCCTTCCCCTTCCCCTTCCCCTTCCCCTTCCCCGTAATATTCCCCTTCCCCTTCCCCGTAATATTCCCCTTCCCCTTCCCCGTAATATTCCCCTTCCCCTTCCCCGTAATATTCCCCAGTTCCTTCCTACCCCCTGTCTTACACCCCCCCCCCCCTTCCCTTCTCTTAAGCTCGCTCCGTATAATCTGCCTCTAGCCGTTGCAACTTCGCTACGATCCGATTAAGGAGTGCTGTCTTTGGAGAAGGAAGAGGATGGAGGTAGGAAGGAAGAAGTAGGAAGGAGGAAGGAAGAAGTAGGAATAAAGGTGGAATAAAGGAATAAAGGTGGGAAAAAAAAGGGAAGAGACAGGAGGAGCGGGGGGGGGGGGGGTAGGAAAGAAGGGAATGAAAGGAATGCGGACGTAAGGAAAGGAGGATGAGGAAGAGAAAATTGCTGAGGAGGAGGAATGGGGAAGATGAGGAAAAGTGAGGAGAAGGAGAAGTGGAAGAGTCCAAGCAGAGGAAGAATAGGAAGGAAGGAATAAGTAAAATGGGGGGAGGAAGAAGAGGAGGAAGAGGAAGAAAAAGAGGAAGAAGAGGAAGAAAAAGAGGAGGAGGAGGAGGAGGAAGAGATGAAGGAGGAGGTGGAGTTGGAGATGGAGAGGGAGGAGGTGGAAGTGGAGGAGATGGAAGTGGGAGATGGAAGTGGAGGAGGTGGAAGTGGGAGATGGAAGTGGAGGAGATAGAAATGGAGGAGATGGAAGTGGAGGAGGTGGAAGTGGGAGATGGAGCAAGAGGAGGCCGCCGGCGCCGCGTAACGAGCCAGGGAGTCGTCGTCCGCGCTGTTTGTGTGGGTGTGCTTGTATGGCTTTGGTTCCCCTCTTCACCCTTCCTCTCTCGCCGGGCTTCGGGTGGCATTTTGTTTTTAGGGGGGGTTGGGGAGGGGAAAGGGAAGCAAGGGGGCAGGAGTGGGGGGGACGGGGTGGAAGGGGGTTGGAGGTTGTGCTGTGGAAGGCTTTGTGTGCTACTGTGCTTGAAAGGCCTCTCTTTTGTTATTTATTTGCTGTTGTTCTCTTTTGTTTTTCTCTTTTTTTTTTTTTTTTGGTTTTGTTTTGGTTCGTTGTGTTCTTTGTGATTCTGATGCCTCTTTCTTTGACCCTGTCGCGACTTTTCTCTCTCTCTCTCTCTCTCTCTCTCTCTCTCTCTCTCTCTCTCTCTCTCTCTCTCTCTCTCTCTCTCTCTCTCTCTCTCTCTCTCTCTCACACACAGTCACTCACTCACTCACTCACTCACTCACTCACTCGCTCACACAATCACTCACTCACTCACTCACTCACTCATCACCCACCCACTCTCTCTCCCCTTATGTCTCCCTCCCCCTCTCCTTCACTCTCCCTCCCCCTCTCCTTCACTCTCCCTCCCCCTCTCCTTCACTCTCCCTCCCCCTCTCCTTCACTCTCCCTCCCCCTCTCCTTCACTCTCCCTCCCCCTCTCCTTCACTCTCCCTCCCCCTCTCCTTCACTCTCCCTCCCCCTCTCCTTCACTCTCCCTCCCCCTCTCCTTCACTCTCCCTACCCCTCTCCTTCACTCTCCCTACCCCTCTCCTTCACTCTCCCTCCCCCTCTCCTTCATCCTCCCTCCCCCTCTCTTTCACTCTCCCTCCTTCTCTCTCCTCTCCTTCACTTTCCCTCCCCCTCTCCTTCACTCTCCCTCCCCTTCTCTTTCATTCTCCCTCCCCCTCTCATTTACTCTCCCTCCTCCACCATCTCCCCCTCCCGCACCGGCCCTCGACGCGTTCAAAGAGCGAAGGGTCGTGTACTGCGGTCCCGGTCGGCGAGTGGGCGTGAGGGTGGGCGGGCGGGCGGTAGCGGCGGGTGGCGATGGAGGAGGCCAGTCTTTTGTCCTTTGCACTCGGCGGTACTTCCTTGGCGCCCTCGAGACGTCTCTCATCCCGCCCTCCGCCTCCTCCTCGAGACGGGCTTGTCCTCCTTTAGCAACTGACGCCACACTGCCTTCTCTTGATTTTGTCTTTGTTGTAGTTGTAGTTGTTGTTGTTGTTGTTGTTTTTGTTTTCCATCTCCTCTTTCTCTTCCGTTTTTTTTTTCATTCTCATTTTCTTGATCTATTGCCTTTACTCTCATCTCTCTCTTCCGCTGTCTCCTGTCTACACTTTCCATTCGTTGTCCTTAGGCCCCCCCCCCCCCCCCTCCATTCCTTGGGTCAACCCCAGAGGCTGTTTTCACCATTTCTCTCCGTTTTTTGTAAGGAATCGTGTCACAAAAACTCGATTCTAAGAAATTAATTTTTTCTCCCTCTTAAGTGTGAAGATCTCCTTCTCCTCCTCCTCCTCCTCCTTTGTCTCTTCCTCTTCCTCTTCTTCCTCCTTCACTCTCCCATTCCTACCCTCCTCACTCTTCCTCTCTCCTCTATCTTCCTCCCTCTTCCTCCCTCCTCCTCCCTCCTCCCTCCTCTTCCCCTCATCTTCCTCTTTCTACCTCCTTCTCCCTTCATCTTCCTCCCTCTCCCTCTTCCTCCCTCCTCCTCCTTCCTTCTTCCTTCTTCCTCTTCCTTCTTCCTTCTTCCTTCTTCCTTCTTCCTCTTCCTCTCGCCATTTCTGGAAGTGACGCGTCCCTCCCCCGGCGGTTCCCGGAAGGCCCTCCGCTGGCGTCGAGCCCTCCTCCTCCTCCTCGCTGAGCATTCCATGTTCGATGAGCTGCTCCGAGACTTCGAGGATACTTTTGCTAGGTCGCGGTCGCTGGGCTGGGTCGCGGGGGGGGGTGGGGAGTCTCGTCTCTCGTCTCTCGTTTTCTCGTCTCTCGTTTTCTCCTCTCTCTCTCTCTCTCTCTCTCTCTCTCTCTCTCTCTCTCTCTCTCTCTCTCTCTCTCTCTCTCTCTCTCTCTCTCTCTCTCTCTCTCTCTCTCTCTGTATATATATCCCTCCCTCTCTCTCTCTTCTCTCTCTCTCTCCCTCCCCCTCCCTCCCTCCCCTCTCCCTCTCCCTCTCCCTCTCCCTCTCCCTCTCCCTCTCCCTCTCCCTCTCCCTCTCCCTCTCCCTCAACCTTCCCTTCCCTTTCCGTTTTGTTTACTTTTATATTTCGGTCCCTTGCTCTCACGTCGATGTGGGAAGTAATGAGTATTTGTACCGAATAAGGAACACGAACGCGAGAATTAACTTTACACAAAAGGAGGAAGAAATGGATGAATAAAAGAATGAATGAGAGCCTGTGGAATTTGGATGGGAAAAAATAATTAATTAGGAGTTAGTGAATGACCTTGACAGGTCGATTGGCCGCGGATGAGTCAGAGTGAGTCGCTTTAATCACCGGCTGAGTATGGACCTCGGTGGGGTGAGTCAGCGAGGAAGATGGTGAGTGCGATACCCCGGTGCGTGCGTGTGTTTTGGGTTATCCGTGACGAGTATTCAGGTTAGGTGCCGTAGATTGTAACATGATAAGACATGTATCTCGTCTGGGGTGGGGTTGGGGTTGGGAGAGGGGGAGGGGGAGTTAAGAGGGAGGGGCGTGGGAAGATGGGAGGTGTCCTGGACTTTACGTGGATATTGATTTATTATTTGTCTTTCTTTTTGTTCTTCTTCGTATGTGATTGGTGTCCGTCTTAGATGATGTTAATTTTAAATGTTTGTCGGTCGGATAAATACAGCCACCGAACCGCTCCTTCTTTTTTTTTTTTTTTTTTTTTTACAATCTTAATCAGTATTTTTTTCTGTTGATTCAGTGTAAGTGATGTTGATGGAGGCCTGATTTTTTAAAAAGATGATAGGCCTACCAGGGTGCGTAGTGCCAATCTCCAACCCCCCCTCCCGCAGCTCTCAAGACCGGGGCCCCTGGAGTGTGCCCGGAGAAAGCTTTGGGATTCTAAACATGGATCAAGCAGCCGCCAATCCACCTTTTTTATTTGTTTATTTATTTATTTATTTGTTCATTTATTTATGTGGGACAATGTTTTCACACTTCACCTCTACTTTTTTTCTTCTTTAGGTTGAAGTTTGGTTAATCAGTCTGTCTATTTATTCCCTCGTCTCCTTTTTCTGTTTTTCCTTTTCTCAGTCTTCTATATTTTATTTTATTCTTCTTCTTACTCTTACGTGTCCGTTTTCGCGGAATATTAAACGGATGCACTGCTATCGCCTGCGTGTTTGTTTATCATCATCATCATCATCATCAATCATCAATCATCAATCATCAATATCAATCATCATCACTGCTATTAATACTACTACTATTATATTATTATTACTACTACGACAACTACTATTACTATCATTATTATTATTACCATTGTATTATCATTGGTGTTCCCATTGTTGTTGTTGTCACTGTCATTATCATCATCGCACAGTTTTGTGGCACGTGTCTGCCCTCGCCCCCCTTTTCCTTAACTGAGCCTCAGGTACGGGCAGCCGGGCGTCGAGATGTACGGGCAGCGAGAGGATTCGGAGGCGGCCATCACCCACCTCACCTTCCTCAAGGGACAGGTAAGGAGCCACCACCACCACGTGAGACACCGCGGGACTCTTGTAGGAGTCTTGCGGGGCGTCGCTATATTCTTGTGGGGAGTTCTATTTTTTTTCAATGTCTCTTCTCTTCTCTTTTATCTCTTCTGTTTTGTTTCACTCTTCTTCTTTTCTCTCCCCTTAGGTCTTTTCTTCAGTTTATCATTTTTTTTCATTCTTTATTCCTCTCTCCTTCCTTCACTTTCCCTTTTCTCTCCCTTCCTAATTTCCTCCTCCTCTTCCCTTTCCTCCTCCCTCCCCCTTCTCTTCCTGCCCTTCCCACTCCTCCCTTCTCCCCTCTCCACCTTCCTCCTCCTCCTCTTCTCACTCCTCCTCCCTCCCCTTTCTCCTCCTCTCCATTCCTCCTCTTCCTTCCTTCTCGTTCACCACCTCTCTCTATCTCCTCCATTCCTCCTCTCTCCTCCCCATCCTCCTTCCTCCTCCCTCCCTCCTCCTCCTCTCTCCCTCCTTCCTCTCTTCCCCTTCTTTCTCTTCTTCCTCCCCTCCTTCCTCCCCCCCTCCCCTTCTTTCTCCCCACTCCACCTTTCCTCTTTGTTACCATCTCCTCTTGCTGCTCCTCCTCTTTCCTCCTCCTCCTATTCCTCCCCTCCTGTTCCTCCTCCTCACTCACTCCTCCTCCCATCCCTCCTCCTCTCCTCTTTGTCCCCCTCCTTGGCCTTCCTCTCGTCTTCTCATTCTCCCCTCCCCCACTCTTTGTCCCTCTCCTTGTCTTCCTCACTGTTTCTCATTCCTCCCTCCCCCTCTGATTCAACTTTTTCCCTTTCCCTTCCACTTCCCCTTTCATCCCTCACTTCCTCCTCTGTCTTCTTGCCCTCCTTCCCTCCTCTCTCTCTTCCTTTCTCTTGTATTCCACTGACTTCCTACTCTCCTCTTTTTCATTTTCATTTTCATCTCTGTCGTCCTCCTCCTCCTTTTCATCCTTCCCTGCTCACTCCTCTTCCCTCTTCTCCTTATCCTGGTCCAGCATCTTCCAACTCTGCACATCCCCTTTTCCATCAAGTTCTCCCCTCGCTCTCATTCCCTCTTCTCTCTCCTCATCTTGCTCTTCCTCTGCCTCTCCCTCCCCTTCTCTTCTCCCCCCCCCCCCCCACTCTCTGTGCAAGACCCTTGACCCGTTTCGGTTGGCGTTTGCAAAAGATCGATTGTATTGATTTGGGGTTTTTCTTTTGTGGTTTGAAATTAACCCACCTTGATAACAGAGAGCAGTGCATGGGGCTGTTCTTCCTCCCCCCTTCCAGCCAGCCCCCCTTGGCCCTCTCCTTGTGAGTTGGTTTTTTGTTTTGATTTTTATGGATTATTTTGCCTTGATGTGAAATTTAATAAAAAGTAGAGCAACTTGTGTGACATCTATAACTGGTTTGATTCGGACTAATAGCAACACTTATAGTCATCCGTAAGATATTGAAAACTTTAAATTAATGTATTTTTGCACTGAATATTGTACCAATCAGAATTTATTGAGAAGCACTATGTAAAAACCAACTAATTCAACAAAATTCACTTAAAGGGGGAAAAAAAAAAATGCAACAGTGTTTGTGATATTTTCTTAAAGTGCAAATGATTGTTCTTTTTTTAATACTAAGGCAGATTTATCGTGAATGGAGTCTTCTGCATGCATGTGTGTTTGTTTGTTGACAGTGCCGCCTGGTGTCACTGTTCGAAGACAACAGTCTA